TTTTTTTTTTAACACTTTTTGAATATATCTACTGCTTGCTAGCAGTAGATATATGTAAAAACACTGGAGGGTTTAATAACCATTTAGAGAAGAACTCCAGGCAAATGAAGAATTAACCCTGTGCTTCCCCCCACACTGCTAGGGTTAACTGCTCTTTTGCTCTAGGGGCTTAAAGTGACATTAAATTCGAACCCCCAAATGCCGCTTTAATGACTTACTTAAATGATGCCTCTTGATCCGATCATCATCTTCTTTCCAATAGTCTTCAGGAATCCCTCCAGTGCTTGTGCCGGTCTCTGATTCAGCGTTGATTCCTGTGTCCCTGGGTGTATGTCCGTGTGCATGCTGCCAGGCCACGTGCATTGACTTACACTGTGTCTCTCCTCTTCTCCCGGCCGAAGATCTCTACTGCGCATGCGCCCGCCCCATGATCCTTCACAGCCAGTCGAGTATCTTCATATGGGAGCGAGCGGTGGAGACAGGTACGTTTTTACCTGTTTGATAACTTTTTTTTACTGTATCCGTTCCAGCTGCAGCACGGCTCTGCGCTGTCGGCATATAGCAGGCAATAGCCCGCTAAGTAGGGCTGCAACTAGGGATTATTTTCATAATTCATTAGTTGCTTGGTTTATTTTTTCAATTAGTCAGATACATAAAATTAAATAAATACCATCCTTAATGTAAAATAAAATACAGAAATGCAGTGTCACAAACAAAAAGCTTACGTCAGAATAAAACTGCATGCACAATTATTTTGCAATCGCACTGCACTGCAACACACAGCATTGCGGTACCGTGCATTCAAATGTGGGCGATCACACTGTGGGTAGGAGGCGCATTTGGGGCTGCCATTGAAATGAATGGCACTACAATACACTTCCTGCAGCAGAATTTGTCAGGCGGAAACCGAAAATGACTTTTTCCCCACCTTTTATCATTTAAAAAAAAAAATTATTATATTATAAGCACATGGCACTTGAATAGCTTCAGCCAGGGAATTACGGCTGTCAGTGGCAAGATTTCGAAATTGCAATAGCCAATAGCAGGCTGGCTAGGGATTCTAACCAACTAATTGATAATGAGAATAGTTGACAACTATTCTCATAATCGATTAGTTGGTTGCAGCCCTAGTGATAAGGGGGAGGAGTGTTAATGATCATAAGAGTTGACCTGGGTGACAAGGGGGAGGAGTGTTATTGATCACAGGGGGTTCCTGGGGGATAAGGGGGAGGGGTGTTATTGATCATGGAAGTTGACCTGGGTGAAAAGGGAGGGGTGCTATTGATCATGGGAGTTGACCTGGGTGATAAGGGGGAGGGGTGTTATTGATCATGGGAGTTGATGTGGATCTTTCTGGGCTATCTGCCAATGCTGACAGTTAGTTAGTATTATTCCCAGTTCTCTCTGTAAATGACAGAGCAACCCCCATGTTATGGATAAAAGGTGGAGGTGTTCTGTGGTCATACACATTTCCTGTGCTAGGGTGACCACACTGCTCCTCCATACATACAGTACAGTAAGTAAGCATTGTCACCCTAGGAGAGTGTATTACCGGGAGGCTTTCCAGGTGAAAATAGAGGAAAGAAATCCTGAAAAGCAAACTAATGCTGCCACCTCTCCTAAGTACTGGTACACTCCAATATATTAATTTTTCCTTTTTGGATTTATATGCGCTTTAAATGAAGGACACAAGAGATTATGTTTATACACTGTATACTTAGAATTAGAAGAATCAAATTTACTTCCATGCTTCTATTTTAGGAGTTATGTACAGTTTGTGCACAATTTTTTTTGGGAGGGGATGGTTGAAGCTTTTATTGAGCACCCTGTGTCTCTTGGCTGTACTCCATGAAACATGCATTCTCACGGACTTCACTGGAATACACACAGACCTAATTAACTTCCACAGAACTCTACAGCAAAGCTCTTTATTAGAATAAGGCCATGCTGCTGTTATAGAAGGACATTCTGAAAAGAAAATTTTGATCTGTCTGTATTCTTTCTTGACAAATACATCACACTGCGGGAGTGTGGGCAGCACATTTGGGGTGCCAATGAAATTAATGGCACTGCAACATACCTCCTGCAGCAGAATTTGTTGGGCTGAATGACTTTTTTTATCATTTAAATTTTTTTTTTATAATGTTAATTGCACATGTCGCTGGAATAGCTTCAGTCAGGGAATGACAGCTGTCAGTGGTAAGATTTTGCAGATGGCAGCTGAATGTAAATACAGCAGGTAGTGGGCTGGTGCAATAGCCAGCCTGCTATTGGCCATTTCAAATTGCAATAATCAATAGCAGGCTGGATATTGCACCTGCCCACAGCTTGCTGTGCCCTCCTCCCAGTGTGGAGGAGAGAGCTAGGGAATCCAACCAACTAATCGATAATGAGAATAGTTGACAACCCTATTACTGTCCTTTGTATATTACCGATAGGCGGTGAAATGGAGATCCCTCTATGCATTTCTCACATGAAAGATCTTCTTCACATGGATCAATGTCTATATCACTGATATTTGTGCCAGAGTTCAAACCATTAAAATATCCCCTGGGCAAACTCGGGGATACACAAACAGGGCCCAGGCTACCTAGGCTCCCATATACACACACACACACACTCTTCTTAAAATAAAAGAAAGAGCCCCTCACCTGCTTCCTTTTTTGCAGGGAGGGGGCACATTCAATGGTGGTTCAGTGGTTGTTTAGTACCGTCTGCACCTTTGGCTGGTGCAGACCTTACTAATCCATCCCGAAGCCCATTGAAAGCTGTCAGAGTTACAGTCACATGCTGTGTTCTGACTCGCACTGAGCGTCTGCACCGACAGGAGCAGCTATGTGGTCTATATCCGACAGAGATGCTCCCCCAAGTCAGGTGTGTGGTCTGTGACTGTGTGCCTGACTTGTCAGCCTGCTGTGGGCCACATGGTATCGGTCCTTGGGCCGGTAGTTTGAGAACCCTGATATACAGTATATGCTATTTAAATAAATAAGGTAGAGGTAGGAGTTGAAGCACCACACCAGTTAAAATAATTCAGATACATCTTTACACCATTAGGGTCAAGGGATATTCAAGTAGACTGGGGGTCTAAAACACACACGCTTCATCAGGACTTAATGAGAGGAATCATGCATGTGGTCTACAATCCTTGCATCCTGAACGTTGCTTTCAGTTGTGATGGGACACTTTCAGGTTTGTCAGTACCTGTTGTGCAGCAAGCAAATTTACAGGTGAAACTCGAATAATTAACATGCAAAGCAAGATAATTCAAGCCGTGATTTGTCCATAATTGTGATGATTATGACTTACAGCTCATGAAAACCCCAAGAACCCCAAATCCACAACCTCAAAAAAGTAGATTATTACATGCAATCAATAAAACAAGGATTGTACATAGAACAATATCGGACCTCTGAAAAGTACAAGCATGCATATGTACTCAGTACTTGGTTTGGGCCCCTTTTGCAGCACTTACTGCCATTACTTTTGCATGATATTCTAATTATTCGTGTTTCACCTGTAAGTGAATAAAGCTGAATGGTGAATAATGGTAAAATGACAAAAATCGCTTCCAGAAGATGAATCCTGATTGACTGTTGATGTGTGAAGGGTAAGGTCACAATCAGTCATTTCTGCTGCTAACGTCTAGGAAATGAAGACCACAGAGTTACTGCTTTGTTTGAGCCATGCATCCACCATCAAGTAACAATCCACGAACCCATCGCACTCCTGACCTATTTTTCCATGTAGATTAGGTGAGTGCATCGGTAGTGCAGAAGAATATGGGCACTGGCACTCCAAAATCGTCTATTTATTGACGTAAATGCAGCATATCACATTTAGTGCAACATTTCAGGGTCTTGCGGGTCCCCTGTCCTGCCTGAGGAAGGGGATCCTGCAAGACCCCAAAATGTTGCACTAAATGTGATATGCTGCAATAAATAGACGCATTTGATCTGTATCTGGAGTGCCGGTGTCCATATTCTTCTTTTATGCACCCACCATCAGACACGAAACATGGGTGTAATAGCAGGAGGCTCTGATGAATGCAGTTATTATATAATAAAAGCAGGCCCACACACTGCAACTTTGTATTTTTGTTATGACAATCCCAAGACTGGATGAGCTAGATCTACAGGTACATAGTAAACTCCCTTAAAGGAGAACTATGAGGTCGGCTCAGTAGATCGGGAGGTGAGCGAACACATACCGGCGTTCGCTCACCTCTCGATCCTGTCACGGCTCGTGACGGGAGGGGCTGGATTCCCCCCTCCCCGCTCCGATCCGCCAGCGCTGACTGGCGGAACAGACGGGGAGGGGGCGGGTACAGCTGGCTCTGCCTCTAGATAGGCAGAGCCAGCTGTCAGTCACGCAGCTGGGCGGATCCCGGCACAATTGTCGGGATCCGCTTCAGCTGCAGCGTCTCAGTATACCGTGAGCAGCAGCTTGCGGTATATTGTGGCGTCTCTGTATACCGCGAGCTACAGCTCGCGGTATACTAAGCCTAGGGTGACGGGAGGACGCTAGTTTGTGTCCTCCCGTTACCCTAAGGAGAACTATGGGGAAAAGCCTTAACCCCATAGTTCTCCTTTAAAGTCACACTAAATCCAGGAGTTCATTATTAAAAATGGATTAACTGTTAACAAAAATGTGGTTTATTTGCTGTAGATCCTCAAATCATCTCTGAATCGGTGCTGACAATGTTCCCTGTGTGTTGTAAAGTAGCCACCACTCCAAACTTGGTCCCGTGATGGACTACAGTCTCATATTTAGTTTACTAATTTGTATTGAGATTGTAACGGCAATTCTGCTAGTCTGGAGTTTAATGTCCACCGAATTCCTTTTGTCCTGTCTTTGAAATGCAAACTTTGAAAACAAAATTGGGTTTAATGAGCCGTACCTCGTAGCAGAAATAATGTATTATATTTTCTTCAGTCATTTGCTAATTAGATTTGTCGGTCGCAATAAACTTTTTCTTTCCTTTTTTTTTATTTTATTAGCACTTTGATGGTTCAGTGGATTTTGCCTCAGCCTTTCATCAGCATTTGGCCAAGTATGTCCCTCGTATATACACAAGTTATGTGCAGCCACAAGTGGACAGGCAGGAAAGCCTGGCACAGGCCAGTATCTTCACCCCTATGGAGTGGTACTTGTTTGGAGAGGACCCAAATGTCTTCATGGAGAAGCTACGTCAGAGCGAGACACCTCCCCTGTGTGGTCAAGTTTTTAGAGGAGGGGAAACCACTTATTCCTGCAGGTAAACTTGCTTTCTAAATTGGCAACATTTAGAATATAGTCCAAGGACACTTATCCACACAAGTGATCTTCTCAAGTTATCTATGCATGATACTGTGTTTGAAAACTGCGATACACTGCAATGCTACCCAGTTAAAATGGGAATGCTATTTACATTTCATGTTTATCTCTGCTTTATTGTTTTTTATACAAGTTTACTGAAAATAGAACATTATATATAATATTTCACAATATCAAAAATTATAGGTAGATTCTTTACAACAATATCTGTAGAGACCAATTGGACAGGAGCATGTCAATATTACTATGTGCAGATGTAAACGTATTTATCATGTCAATAAAGATAAGATACAATACTATTTACATTTTAAAAACACTCAATATAGACTTTTGTGGGGAAGCTAATTTTAAAGATTGAATACAACATTACAAAGTGATTTAGTGTTTAACAACAGCTTCAGTAACACATCTCCAATACCCAGGGCTGTCCCAAGGGAATCTGATAATGGGCACTAGCTGTTTCCATTTCTTATTGTATGAAAAATAAGTCTCTGCAATTATTGGTGCAAATTCCCTCACAGCAGCTGAAAGGATAGATAGATAGATAGATATATTAAACTCCCCATTTTCCAGCATTCTAGCAACCTGCAAAAAAAAAAAATCGTGGACATATGTCCTCGATTTTTTTATTTTTTTTGCCGGGTGGTTTAATGCACATAAAAAAAATGTTGGTTGCTTGGTGCACGGTACACTAATGACATTTTGTTTGCACCTACATTTATTTCTTTGTTTACATTGTGCTGCTGGCCATTGGCTAGATTCCGCTTTTGGCAGCAGAATGTAAACAATTGGGAGAAATAGCCAGCCTACTGTTGTGGACAGCTTAAAAACTATGATTTTAAAATTTTTAGGAAACACACTTATAAAGACTGGTAAAGCTGAATATATAGGTGTGTGTTAAGATAGACTGTGTCTTTATTGCAGGGACTGTGCAATAGATCCCACCTGTGTTCTTTGCATGAACTGCTTCCAGAACAGCATTCACAAGAATCATCGTTACAAGGTATGACCTGCGCTATATAAAGTAGACTGCTGTTTGTATTCTAGAATCATCATCATTATTTTAGTTATATGACTACAGCATTGGTGGATGTGAAAGTGGAACAGTGCATTTTGAATTGAAGCGTCTGAAATTTATAACTTCTCCTGTGTAATTTTACAGATGCATTCTTCAATGGGAGGGGGGTTTTGTGACTGTGGTGACACAGAAGCATGGAAAACGGGTCCATACTGCAAGATTCACGAGCCAGGGGCTTCAGATCAGGTAATGCAAACCAACAAATGTCAGATCAGGTAATGCAAATGAGAAACGATGAGTTCAGTTATTCATTTTAATTTGCCAAGTCATATCTGTGTACTGCAGCTGCAGCTCTTGTGGGATGTTCCAGGTCTGTAGTGATCAGAACCTATCAAAGGTAGTCCAAGCAAGGAAAACTGGTGACAGGGTCATGGGCGACCAATGCTCATTGATGCATGTGGGGAGCGAATGCTGGTTTGCTTAGTCCGATCTAGTAAATAAGCTACTGTAGCTCAAATTGCTGAAAAAGTTAATGCTGGTTCTGATAAAAAAGGTTTCTGAACACACAGTGCATCGCAGTATTTTGTGTTTGGGGCTGTGTAGCCGCAGACCAGTCAGGGTACCCATGCTGACCTGTGTGCACTGCCAAAAGCACCTACAGTGGTCATGTAAGCATCAGAACCTGACCACTGAGCAATGGAAGAAGGTGGTCTGGTCTGATGAATCATGCTTACTTTTACATCATGTGGATGGCCGGGTGCATGTGTCTCGCTTACCTGGGGAAGAGATGGTACCAGGATGCACTATGGGAAGAAGGCATATTGGCAAAGGCAGTATGAGGATTTGGGCAATGTTCTGCTGGAAAAATCTTGGGTCCTGTCATTCATGTGGATGTTACTTTGACACATACCGCATACTACCTTAACATTGTTGCTGACCAAGTATACCCCTTCATGGAAACGGGATTCCCTGAAGGCAGTGGCCTCTTCCAGCAGGATAATGTGGCCCTGCAACATTGCAAAAATGGTTCAAGAATGGTTTGAGGAACACAACAATGCGTTTGAGGTGATCATTTGGCCTCCAAATTCTCTAGATCTCAATCAAATCGAGCGTGTGTGGGATTTGCTGGAAACAAAAGTCTAATCCTTGTAGGCCTCACCTCACATCTTCCAGGACTTAAAGCATCTGCTCCTGATGGATTGGTGCCAGATATCACCGCATACCTTCAGAGGTCTAGTGGTGGAGTCCATGCCTTGACGGGTCAGGGCTGTTGTGGCAGCAAAAGGGGAGCCTACTCAATATTAGGAGGGCGGTCATAATGTTATGGCTGATTGCGGTAGATTGTAGAAATGAGAGCACAGCTAATACATGTAGATAGGTAAACACTCTCCTTAAACAAAATATAAGGATAGATTTTATAGAGATTTTCCATTTTCAGAAAGAGAATGTTTGGGATGAAACATAATTTTACGATATGGAATTTAAGTTAGATTTTATTGTTGCATGGGTTAGACCACTGAGTGGTAAAGCGTATAACATTTTCCCATATTGTATTTATGCAATTGATAAGGCCAGTGAATAATTTGTGATTACATTCTTATGTCGGTTCTAAACCTTTGTCACTGTGCTAGAAAATAGGTTTCATCCCTGTGGAACAGGCATAGAGCTGTATGCTACATGAAATGCTTCCACTGACTCTGTACTGGGAAAGTCTGTTGACTTTATTGCATCATGTACAAAGGACATTTCATCCAACTTAGCTTCGAAGAGTCTCTGATTCAAACATTGCCTGTACTTGGTAAATGAAAGTAACTTGAAAATAGATTTGTCACTTCTTTGTTTATCAGCATCTACAGGCCGCATCTTACCCTTGAAAGTGTGCACCAAACCCTTTTTTAGTGTGGGGAGGATGATTTTGATTCTAAATTGCTCTGGTGACATCTAAAAAATGAGAAAATGCCTTTAGCTTTGCTTTAGTGTACTAATTAACCAATGGTTGGAAAGGTTTGGCAGTATTACATAGATCACACAATATATAATAAATCTTGTTACTTTTCAGGATTCTGGATTTCGGTTACCGGAAGAGATCTTGGCCCAGACTAGAAAAGTGGTCCCCGTCATCATCAAGTATATTGTGGACATGCTTATCTGGGAGGAGGAGAAATGTCTGCCTCCGTATTTAAATACAGGGTATGAATGTACTGAGTATATGTAAACATCACAGGGAATTACTGTAATATCTGCACAAAGCCACTCAGTTGTCATTTGAAGATATAAGATGGAGGCTCACACACACACACACAGAAGCACACCTTCATATTCACAGATACAGTTTGTTTCTCAGTTCTTAGACATACGTTGGTTTGTACAGGATGACCCAGCTTCATTCTCTACTACGGTAAATGGAATCTGTAATGCTCTGCAGGAGTGTACGTGTGTGGAGCATCTGCACAGACCCTGGAATGTACCTCTCCACAGATTATATCAGCTTAAAAAAAAAATTGGACGTGCTTTAAAGTGAAAATATAGTGTATTACTGGTGGCTTCATGTGTGCCTATATAGGGCCTGCCAGTCTTATACCTATCTGTCCCCGATCCAACAAAATATCACTGATGACACTGCACAATGGCTTTCCAAAATCTTCCTGGCCAGGGCCATGCAAGCAAACTTCCATTTATTACTATGGAGAGCTTTACTGTATGAGCTTGTACTCCAGACTAACTGTGCATAGAAATGAATGGGAATACAGAGTGTAAGCGCAGGCTCAGCTGGGAAGATTTTGACAATCCAGTGTCCACCATGTCAAGTTGGGGACAGGTCCATATAACATACTCTGAGTCATTACTACACCACTTACCATATAGTCGTTGTATGTGACTTTCACATTTTCTAAAGAAACTTGTAGCTGCAGCATATGGAGGCCACTATTTGCTGTTCAATGGCTTCAGTACTTGAGGCACTGACCTATCACAAATATGAGTTCTGGTTTCATTGTGACTTTCTAAACGGCATGCTTATTTCAGGTCAGTGACAGCCAGGCAACTAGTACTCTCAGGAGAAGATCAGCAATGATGTCTACTGAGGGTTCATCCTACTTAATTCCAGGAAAAAGAGTGCATCACTGTGGTAATTAACATTAGAGTGATAACTAGCTTACAATGTTTACCACTAAGAAAGTACCCATTAAACCTCTTCAACAGCATTTACCTGAAAAATTATTTAAGGAAGTGTAGATTTTATTAATTGGAGCCGCATTTATTTTAAAGCAGAACTCCGGGCAAATTAGATCTTAACCCTTTCAGTGGGCCTACCCCTAAAACTGCAAGGGTTAAGGGCCCTTTGTCTAGGGAACTAAAATAACAAAGATATACTAACCCGAACCCCAATCCGGCTGACTCCTACACCGGTCCCTCCCGCCTGTCTGCTTTGTGGCTCCAGCAGTGGTATGTCCCTTGGCATCCTCATGTTCTATACCTTGTATAGAACGTGATGACTCACAGGACCTTAGAGCGCTGGAGTGGAGTGGGAGCAGTGTAGGAGCCAGCTGGGATCGTGGTTCGGGTGAGTAAAACTTCGTTATTTTAGCTGCCTAGACAAAAAAAGCCTTTAACCATTGCAGTGCCGGGGTAGCCTCAATGCAAGGGTTATGATTGTATTTGTCCGGAGTTCTGCTTTAAGTTGAGGGTCACAAGGAAGACGTGAGTGGGCACTCCAGTTTGACATGCCTGCAATGCTTCTACATTTTACGTGCTCTGACCAATCACATTTTCTTACAGCCAGAAGAAGTCAAAGAAACATTGCTGTGTGCTCTACAGTGATGATCACCACTCCAATGACCACTTCATCTACAGTCTACAGAGATCTCTGGGATGTGATTTGAAAGAATCACAGACACTAACAAGTGCAGCAGAGAGGGAGGTCAGTATGGGTATATGCTCTTTTATTTTATTATTAACATGTCTTTGAAGCACATAACCTGTCTTCAGAGAGTACCAAAGCATCACCATTATATGACGATAAAACAAACTGGTACTTATTTTAAAGGGAAAGTATAGTAAATTGCTGGTGAATTCTTATGTGCGGTTAGACTAAAGCTGACCATACCCCTATAGATTATCTGCAGATTTTCTGTGGTCAGATGGAAAAAGTGCAACAGATTCCTCCATCTACGCTAAACTGTGTGGATGGAGGAATCTCCCACTGGGGCAAGCTTCAGTATCTTGCTAGTCGGCCCCGCTGGCTCTCAAAATAGCTATACAATGTCTGCATCCAATGAGATTGTTCAGGTATTTTGAGAGCCAGCGGGGCCGACTAGCAAAATACCAAAGCTTGGCCCAGTTGGAGATTCCTCCATCCACACAGTTTAGCTTGGATGGAGGCATCTGTTGCACTTTTTCCATCTGACCATAGAAAATCTGCAGATAATCTATCAGTGTATAGCCAGCTTTCTATTGTAATTCCCCCAGCGCTTCTGCCAGTCTTAAGGTGCCCATACACTGCTCGATTCTCGTATGAGAATCGGGTGAAATCCCGCGATCGTATGAGAATCGAGCAGTGAGAACGAAGACGTGCGACCGTTTCTACTGTACGGTCGCACGTCTTTTGTCGAACCAACATGCTCGAAAACCCGCCGAGAATCGTACGATTGTCGGTGGGTTTCCAGCCTGCTCGTCCGATAGCTACGGGACGCTGTGCGCACGCGCACACTGCCCGTTCTGCATTGCCGTCATCGGAAGCCCGCCCCTCAGCGGGGCGGGCTTTCGATGATCACAAGTACGATCTGCTCGTCCAAGGTGGGCAGATCGTACGAGCTTTCAATAAGCATACGACCATCACAAGACAAAAGTCTTGCGATGGTCGTAAGGTGTATGGGCACCTTTATACTCGCCTGTCCCCAATCCAGCAAAATATAATTGATGAGGCTGCACGCTGGCTTGCCAAAATCTTTCTGGCCAGGCCCATTATCGCTCTCTGAATTCCTATTTATTCCTATGGAGAGCTATAGTGCTTGTACCCCAGACTAACCGTATGTAGAAATTAATGAGAATACAGAGCACATGCGCAGACTCGGCTGGGAAGATTTGGGCAATTCAGTGTGCGACCATGCTGGATCGGGGATCGGTATGTATATCATATTGTGAGTCATTAGTACACTGCTTACTGTAAAGTCTTTGTATGTGACTTTCACATTTTCTAAGGAAACCTGTAGCTGGGTTGCATGGAGACCATTATTTGCTGCACCTCTTTCCAAAAATGCTAGTTACCTGGATATAATGCTGTTCAATGGTTTCAGTACTTGAGGCACTGACCTTTTACCAACTTGCGTTCTGACTTCACTGTGACTTTTTAAACTGTATGCTTCTTTCAGATCAGTTTCTTCTAGTATTGAGGTCAATGACAGCCAGGCAACTAGTACTCTCAGGAGGAGGTCAGCGTTATCTGCCCATATAGCTCTCACTACAAGTTACTGTTCCTTCAGTTGTTTTACATGTGTTTGATGTTATATCTCCTGTTCATGCCAAAATGCTCAGTTAACACAGGTATGTAGTTGGTGTGGCATGTGTAAAACTAAAACAAAGAAGGGTACAGAAAAGGCCATCATGGTTTAGTAAATCTTTGTACATGTCTTGTTTAAAATCGGTCTTGAAAGTTGAATTGGGGTACACAGAAAATGATGCTGTAACTTTTTAATGTCATTGAGAATCATTGTCAACATTAAATGACACTAAATGTATAATGGCTCAGTAGTGACTAAGCAGTATCTAATATTTCCTATACAGGGCCGCACAACTGTGAAAGAAGGAACTTTAGAAGAATGTAAGGAGACTACAGATAAACTTAAGGTACAAAAAAACCTGCCATCATGGTTTAAAGTGTACACAAGCTTGTCTACTTGCCTTTAGTAAGTTTGTCTGGATTCTGCAGACTAGGTTACCCAGGATTCTTATACGTTTGGGAACTCCAGACCTGCTAAGTCCCTATATGTATACCCAGGTCTGTCCCTTCTGCAGTCTATACAGCCTAAGCTAAGTAGTCTCAATCCTGCTGCATTCCTTAAATGGAAGCTACATTAAAAACTCTGCAAGTGGAAATCATAGTTAAAGTGTATATAAACCCTATTTTATTATTTGGTGTCTTTTAGGTTTTGTTAAAGAGCAACCCCAGTTAAAAGGGTTCTTTTTGCCTAGTTATACTCACCCAAACCTCCTGGCCGGCTGTGATAGCGCTCCCTCCAACCTGTCTCTTCCTCCGCTGAAGCAATTGTATTCCCTCAGCATCCTCACGTCCTATACACTGTATTGGTTGTGATGGCTCCAGGATTCTTAGGCTGCTGCAGTGTCCCTCTGCTGCAGCAGCCTATGGATCCTGGAGCCATCACAACCAATACAGTGTATAGGACGTGATGACGTACAGGGAATACCATTGCAAGAGGCTCCAGGGACCAGACTAAGAGCTGGCCCCCTCTATACAGTGAATAGAACGTGAGGATGCTGAGGGATATAACATCGCTGTAGTGGAGGAGGAGACAGGTTGGAGGGAGCAGTGTAGCAGCCAGTCGGAATTGTGGCTCGGGTGGGTATAACTTTGTTGTTTTAGCTCCCTAGGCAAGGGTTAATAACATTTCTAACCGGAGTTCTGCTTTGAATATAGTATTGAAAGTGTTTTCTTTGTTTAATGAGCTGATTCTGCATGAAAACTTGTTGAGCTGATAACTAGTATCATTGCATCCATAATAAAAGTTATGACTTCACTTGTTGCTAGTCAGCATGGCTTCCTAACCAATCAGGAAGCCGGGTGGCACGTAATGACCCGCCTCCCGGGTTCCTGATTGTTCAGGATGCCAGGCTGCCTAGCAACAGGTGAAGCCAGCTTCCTAGCCAATCAGGAAGCTGGGAGAGGGGTCATGGCGTGCCACCCAGCTTTCTGATTGGCCAGGAAGCCAGCTTCACTTGTTGCAAGGCAGCCTGGCTTCCTGACCAATCAGGAAGCAGATGGCACCTCATGACCCACCGCCCGGCTTCCTGATTGGTCAGGCAGCCTCGGCAAGTGAAGCTGGTGTTCTTTAGATAGCACACTGCCTTCCCAGTCAGTCAGGAAGCCTGGCTTCCTGATAATCGGGGCACGCGGCACCAGTATCGGTAGTCGGTATCGGCGAGTACTGGAAAAAATATCGGTACTCGTACTAGATACTGAAAAACCGGTGTCGGTGTATCCCTAACTTTTATGCTCCATGCCTGTGCTGCACTGTTGTCGGATACATTGTTTCCATAGCTCACTGTGGACTACAGACTTAAAAATAAAGGGAAAAAAGTCTGGAAACAATGAAAGCGAATACAGCTACCACATCCAAGGACTGGCAAGCTGCAATATATAAGATTTTTCTTCTTGGCCTTAGATGCACCTTATGTCTATTCAGTTAAAGCTAGGTAACATTAGTGGGTAACAGACTGATGTTCACTTTCTGGTTTCATGATTTTCTCCTAGAAACACTCTGAAAATGTGTCTCAGCGACCTCTGAACGTTGAAGTGCTGCATTCTCTGGTCATGGCACATCAGACCTTCGCCTGCAGTCTTGGATTGTGGTTAAACAAACTCTTGGCATACTCAAGCAAGTATTATTGTATTCTATCATGGTTTGTTCATTTTGGTCTTCCTAGTTTTTGAATTGATAGATCCGTGCCTTAGGTTGTATTTTTTGCTACAGGTTGGTGCTAAACAGGCACATTTTCAATCAAAAACAGAAGACGTGCCCATCCTACATTAAACCTGATCTCCGGGCAAAGATGTAAATACATAGATGAAAGACCTATATGTAGATGTTTTACGTGACAATGGGTTTGCATTTCTGTCCATTCCTGAGATTTGGATAGCCCAGCACTTTCTCTGTTATAATTAAAAACACACGACTTACATCACCCACTGCCCAGGCTGCTTGGATAGAGAAAGAGCAGTAGGAGACTGATGAGGTCACCCTTCTTTCTAATCTGCTCTCTCCTCCTGTCAGCTTTCTTTTGCAAGAGATTTTCCAGCATTGCCACACCTTGTACAGTTGTACACGGTCCGATTTGTAACAAGTGATGACTGAATTAGTCACTTTGCTTGTTGTTATCAGGTTGTGTGTGGGCAGCCATTGTATGACCACACAGTGATTTATATTCACAAGCTGCGCTTTCAGGAATTGCACAGTGTATTTATCCCAGAGGATTTTGTATGGTCATCTGTAAATATAATAGGTTTGAATGAATAAATGTAAAAGGTTTTGAATGACTATTGACACTGTGCCATGTGTTTGCTTTTTTTTTTCAACAGGTGACTTCCGACAGATCTTTTGTAACGCGTGTCTGGAACCAATCAGAATGACCAGAGCAAGGGAATTGTGCTATGTCAGCTTGTTAATTATGTGTGATGCCAAACTTCATAAAGGTGCGTATAATGTAGAAATGGAACTCCAGCTTCAACAGAATATTCCGCCCAAAGAGAAGTTCTGTTTTGAGTGGAATTTGCATTTAAAGAACTTCTTATTTTACATTTTGTTGTTTTTTCAGGTTTCAAGAAAGTGCTGCATGATCTGATCTTCAGCAGCTTCTTTATGGAGATGGAGTATAAGAAGTTGTTTGCCATTGAGTTTGTGAAGGTAACTGAATTCACTTTACTCATGCATGTCTTAAAGAGACCCTGTCACCAACTTAAAAGATTGCAGTTCAAAACACAGAAAAATCAACGTTTTAAATGCTGACGTGCATCATTATTCCCTTCTATAGTCTCTGTGCTGGCTCCCTCTCCTCCCTACGTAACCATTTATGTAGCTATCAGGGGAGGAGCAAAGGGGAATTTTATAGTGTGTCATTTGAGTGACAGCCTGCTGATATCACATCCAAGATGGTGGCACCCAGCAGCAGTCTCAGGTCTTTTGCAGTCTACACAAGGAAGGCCTTCACAGGTAAATAACATGCATAAACAATGTAAAATGCACATAATCTTAGGGAAAGATTGTCATTGAAATGAATGATCTGGTGATGGGGTCTCTTTAAACACAACCAGTCAGTATTGGGCTCATGCAAAAAAGTTTTTATTTAAAACAAAACAAATCTTTCAAACGTAGCCCCAGATGGCACTAAAAACCTGTCAGGAGTTTTACTCTTTCTTCACTGCATCCAAAGCTATAACAAAGTCAAGGTGCTTTAAAATAGTACATTTAGAATAGCTTACTTATGTTTTGAACGCTACCCCATGCCCAGCAGAAAAGCCACCCAGAGGATAGAGCTGTAGACCACTGTGCTCTGTGTTAGAGCAAAGGTCTCATTATAGAAGTCTAACACCCTCCCCTCTGCCTTGTCACAACCACAGCGCTGCAATTATCAATGATCATGCTGCTGATTGCAGTGTTCTAGTTGTGACAAGGCAGGGGGTGTTTCAGACCACTTTGTATTTAGCATTTACTCCATTCTTATGCAGTCACTTTCAAATTGTGTTTACCTTTTTCCAATAAACATTTGTCTTATAAGTGACTAAATTGAAAAAAGTTAGATTTATCATTCATGTTGCACCAAACAATCACTTTAGAAAACTGAACACAATAGGACTAAAAAATGGATCACGTGAAAAATTGAAGTCTGTAGGGTCAGTATACAAGTTTGTAGGGTTAGCATACATGTCACCTGTTGCATTTGCAACCCATTAACATGCACAAGGGAGTTTTATGTGCGCCAGGGGATTCCTGTGACAACTTGCAGATTTTTGCAGTAAGAATCCCATGTGGGTCCGTACAGATGCAGTCACTGTGCCCATTCAAAAGAATGACAGAGTGACTGTCCGCCTGCGGATTGGGAGAGATGCTTGTTCCTGTGTGCGTCCAAGGACAAGTATGTATTCCGATCTGCTGGTAATTGGAGCTCTTTTGATTATGGAAGGATTACAGAAAGAAAAGTAAGACAACCTAAAAACATTTTTGTTTCTTGTCAGTATTACAAACAGGTTCAGAAAGAGTACATGGATGACGATCGTGACAGGAACATCTCAGTCACTGCAATATCAGTTCAGGTTTTCACTGTCCCCACCCTGGTAAGTAGAACCAAGCCCCAGTTTTCTATTTTTCTTCCTAGCTTTTATAGACAAAGACAAGCGTGTTTTATAATAATATATCCTTATCCCTATTGCAACATATGTTTACTATTCCAAGAATGTGTTGTTGCATATTGTCTCTCTGCTGCTAGTGATAAATGTTTTTCTATGGCATGTCATCTTTTTCTGTAACAAATTCCTTTTAGCAGTTTGATCAGTTTGCCTGCCAAATTGCTTGTGAATACATACCAGCATCCGATGTGAATCTTTTTGAGACACTTGTATAACTTTCAACTAGATTATCAACATAAAACTATCGGGAGGGCATGCAAGACCAGTCACTCTGCACAAAAGGGAGCAACACTCACTAGAGTTTATTATAGGACAGATTACAGAGGCAAAGTGTAGGAGTTGCTCCATGCTGCATTGCTACACAGGTCTGGAAAAAATACAAAAAGGACACCAAAATTCATATAAGAATACACATGGTTCTTCTATTTAGAGAACAATTGTTTAGTCTCAATTTTAGCTTTAAGTTCAAATAATCAGTTCAGCTGAAAGTGATGCTTTATTTATAGATTTGTAGCCTGTTAAATTGATTCTTCCCCTGGCTTCTAGTATTCCCTTACTCTGCACTTTTCCTCCTGGGAGGTTTGGTTGTTCCCCGCTTGCATATTTTATCTGCCCTGTTGCATTCTTCTTAATTATAATGTAAAATACATTTAGAAGTTTTAAAAGGGCGATTGGAACCCTCTCATGATGGCCACATAAGGTGTGCAGGAACCCAAAAGCAAATACCTTAAAGGAGAACTATGGGGTTAGAGCTTTTCCCCATAGTTCTCCTTAGGGTAACGGGAGGACACAAACTAGCGGTATACTGAGACGCTGAAGCGGATGCCGACAATTATGTCTGGATCCGCCCAGTTGCGTGAGTGACAGCTGGCTCTGCCTATCTAGAGGCAGAGCCAGCTGTATCCGCCCCCTCCACCGTCCGTTCCGCCAGTCAGTGCTGGAGGATCGGAGCGGGGAATCCAGTCCCTCCCCTGTCACGGCAGAGAGCCGTGACAGGATCGAGAAGTGAGCGAACGCCGGTATGTGTAATAATCTACACAAACTGAAATATTCATTTTAGGTAGCATGACCTTTGATTTTGCAGCTTCTCCCAATCATCCTGTTCAAATATACATAAATCATTTGCCCTATCTGGTTTGGTTGCAAACATTGAGAATAGCTTACATAGTTCTACCCATAGGAGGGAAGAAGTTATGTTTGTACATAAATTATATAGGTTTTTCTATTCATAAGACATTTCTCTCACACAGGCTCGGCTGCTCATTGAAGAACAGAATGTAATCAAAGTTATCACTGAGGCCATGTTGGAAGTTCTGCCCAAATACCTGGATACAGAGAGCAAGTTTAACTTTCAGGGTTACAGCCAGGACAGATTCTGCAGAGTATATGCTATCATCTGCGACCTCAAGTAAGTGGACATACTAGGTGCTTGTCATTTTGCTGTTTGATAACTTACTTGCTACCAGGTTTAATGCAGGAAATTCTTCCCACTCGAGACATTAGTTGAAACATGCTAAGCAAAGATTTCTTTTTTTAAGCTGCATTTCCACAGCAGACCACAATGCAAAAAACATCTTGGCTTTAAACATGGACAGCTGTCGCATAATCTCAATGTTCTATCATGCCTTGTCTGTATATGTGCTTAGAACATCCCTTGTTTTACCTTTTTCACATACTTCAAAGCGATTTCTTCGGAGTGTTTATTTCCTTTTTTAACTTGTTTTTTAAAATCCTACTATATTTGGTTCTGGTGAGGATTGCTGCCTGATCTTGCCAAACTTACTATTATCAGATGATGATTATGTATTATCTATGGATAATTTGTAGTTTGGCTACCCTTTCACAAAACATCATGCATTTGTACTTGCCCTGCAGCCATTGTGGATTTCTGCTTTGCCAGCGTAGGCCATGGACTAGGATGGCAGGACTACCAGTGGCAGCACACTGCTACCCACACATTATATTGCTGACTGTCTGTAACATGTCCCCTTGGATGAACTAGGGTTCCAGACAGTACCCTGTGCAATCTGTCTGGGTCCTCATTGTTTCTGCCTTTACCCAGTAGATTTGCATGTTTGTGAGTGGGATCTTATGGCTCACCCACTCTGGATCTGTACACTGAACTGCTACTAGAGTTTTTAGTGCGGTATTAACAATGGACATTAACTGTTAGAATCCTGACAGTGGGCGGCTCTGCCGGCTTGACAAAAATCAATTGAGTTATTGACTTTTGTTGAAGGAGGCAATCTAAAAACCCTCGGCCAAACAGTGACTATAGCCACTCAGCTGCAGTTGCTGTTCATGTATTCTGACAGCACCAGGTGCCAGTTATCAGATGACAATAACCGCAGAGGTAGAATCTGTTTAAATTCTTAGTGTGTAACCATCTTAAGTGATGAATGCTAACCAGTTGACCTGGGGACATCCCATTACAGGTAGCCTATGGGGATTGGAAGCATGAGTCTAGGCTCTGCCCGCAGACTAATTTAAAGATGCAGATAATATACTCGAGGTTACCTTTTCAGATGATAAATCCTGTTCCTTGGCCTTATGTTTGCATTTATCCTTGTTGTAAACAAGCTGTTCCTGTCCACTACTAGAAATTGCTGCTATGCTTATCTGCAACTTGTTCTGGTTCTGTGAATCAAGTCAGTGCCAGCATGGCAGCCAGGCAACCAGAATTTTCAGGAATGTGGTATGCCGGTATACCGGTATGCCTTAGTATTGTCTGTTTTCTTTATGTAATTTTTATGCTTATTCTCCTTTTTTTTCCCATTCTAGATATATTCTGATATGTAAACCCACATCTTGGTCAGAGAGGCTACAAGACAAATTTGTGGAGGGGTTTAAATCTCTGCTTCACGTGTTATCATGTATGCAGGTAATCCTATCATACCAATTGTTTGTGATTGGTTAGGATGGGCGGTTATAATACAAATCCAACAATACTTGATTGTGATAGCCTTGTGCTGCTGTCAGACATATTAGAGCACATCATTTGAAAATGGTTTCTCATTACTGCTGGTTTTATGTTTTCGTATTCCTCGGCATGTCCTTCATCGTGTCATGGTGAAGAATATTGACGGCTTGTATTCGTTTTCATAGCTGAAAATACCACTCATTGGAGGACGGGTGTTTCCAATGGCAATAACAAGGTTGAGCAGCATAACATTTCCATGACAGTTAAAAGAGAACTATGGGGTAAGTGTTTTTCTCCATAGTTCTCTTAAGGGTCACGGGAGGACATATACTAACCTCCTCCCGTGACCCAAAGCTCAATATATCGTGAGCTACAGCTCGCGGTATACTGAGACCGCTGCACCCAGGACGGATCCCGACGTTACTATCGAGATCCACCCAGCTGCGTGAGTGACAGCTGGCTCTGCCTATCTAGAAGCAGAGCCAGATGTGCCCGCCCCCTCCGGCATCCGTTCCCCCCACTCAGCGCTGGAAGATCGGATCGTGGAGGGGGGGAATCCCTGCGGGGAGCGGTGCCTGACAGTCACTGCTCTCTGCAGGGAGATGATCGAGAAGTGAGCAAGCGACGGTATGTGTTCGCTCACTTCCCGATCTATTGAGCCGACGTGTGACAGTTTCATTGTCACACGTCGGCTCGAACTATGAGGATGAGGGATTTTCACTCACCTCATAGTTCTCCTTTAACTCTAAAGGGTTTACATTTATAGAAGGGTCAAAGGGTTCTATACCATTTCACCTACCAGATCTATTGCCTGAGCAATCGTATGTAATTTTAACTTTTAAGAGATGTTGGAGAGAATCCATAAGTATGACATTCTTTGCTTGTTTAGGGCATGGAAGCTACAGGTCGGATGATAGGACAACACGTTGAGATGGATTCTGACTGGGAGACCGCCATAGCCATGCAGATGCAACTGAAAAATGTCTTGATGTTAATTCAGGAGTGGTGTGCCAGCAATGTAAGAGTTTATCTTGAAATGTTTTATTTTGTGATGAAACATCATAAGAGTTAATTAAAGAGTAACAAAACACTTGTTCTTTGCACTCCTAAGCTCTGATCTTTATCTCTATATCCCAACCTTTTACAATAGTGGTCAATACTCAAGTGTGTCAAGAAAAGAAAAGAATTTTAATTGATGGCTTTTATGGTACTAGACTAGTATTGCTTTTTTAATAAAGCTGTAAACCACAGAAGGCAGCCTATAGGGATTGTAGGCCCTGCATCCTAATTTTATAAAGCCCTACCCACCTGCATACTATTAATTAAAATAGTATTAAACTCTCAACATTTTTTTTTCATTACTGAGTCCAGAGCAAGCAAATATACAGCAATGCATTTCTTTAATTTTTTGTCCAAGCATTTAAAGTCATCATGTTTTCAAATAGATAGCTCCAAATCTCTCAGCTCTGCTTCCCTGAACTTCATGTCCAGTACAAGATCATAAGGGACAGCACAGTATGTAGTAACTGTCCATCTACTAGCTTGGAGAAGGGACGAGGGGGGAGGAGATTGGAAGAGAGTGGCTTGCTTTTCTATGTGTGTTTGAGGAGACACACATACAGCACTAGCACACATAAGGGTGGATCCATAGAAGACTGCAAGGGAAATGAGCCACCTTAAAACAGGGTATCAGGGCCAGTGCTCTAGTGACCAGCTGATTATGCAGAAAACAAACTTTTAAACATCACAAAGCAGCATCCATTGTAAGTGATTTCATCAGCATTTGAAATAGCTTAAAAACCTTTTGACTTTAATATCACTTTCAGCCCCATGCATTTGCATACAGGTTCCAAAAGAATGTTATGTGGTGAAAGCGTTTGGTGCATCACTTTCTATGATGTCCTTGATGTTATGAGATAAGGAATGACCACTGACCTGATTAGACCTAACATTTCCAAAATGTATAGCAAATGTTATGGAGGCGCACAGAGCAGACTTTAAAAGCATATGAGAGCTTCCATTGCTGTCTTGTTTAAACTGATAGATAATCCAAGGCCATCATTCTGATCCCTCTAAGACCTCTTGGTGCAGCACTGACTCAAACAAGTGTTCAGTCATGTAATATGCAAAGTTTCAAGGTCAGTCGTAAACAATAAGCAAAAATAATTATATCAATTTCCTGTAAGTATGTGATAATGCAAATATTAATGAATATGTGAATTTAAAGCAACCCTTACAGTGGGGCTACCTCCTGCAAGATTTAGTGTGCTCATTTTTATCTAGGTGCAAAAAAAAAAGTGTTACTCACCCAATCCTAGAAGCCAACTTGCTGTTAGTCATGTCCCTGAAGCCTCTCTTCTCCTCCGCTACAGTGGTCTAAGATCTCATAAATCATAATGTACACAGTGTATACACATGAGGACGCTGAGAAACATTCCAATGCTGCAGTGTAGGAGCAGAGAGGCTTCAGTGACAAGAGAAGCGGGGAGCCAGCTCGGTGGTTTGGGTGAGTATAACAAAAACAAGCAAGTAATCCTTGCAGTATGGAGGTAGCCCCACTGCAATGGTGAGGAACACTTTTGCCTGAGTTCTTCTTTAACCCCTTTGTTACGGGAGACGTACAGTGTACGTCCCGTCACAAAGTGGCTATATGACTGGCCACGTACACTGTACGTGCCGAGTTATATTAGCCTCTGTAATGCTGGTAACTGCTGATTCTCAGCAGTTCCAGTCATTAATGAATGCCTCACTATTGAGGCATTCATTAATGAAATAGTTAAGCTTTTGTAAAAGCTTCTTCCTTTCATTAATGAAAGAATGACGCCTTTACATTCAGATACGGGATCGATCCCGTATCTGACAGCTGAAGATAGCAGAGAGGTAGCAGTGACTCACCTCTCTGCTATTCGTTTGACAGCTGTATAGCCTGGCCCATGTTAAATTATACATTTCAAGCGCTAGATACAAATGTATCTCTTGAGTGAAATGTATCAGTTTTGATCGTCTAGGAACGATCAAAGACCTTTAGTGAGATCTGATTCTGACATGCTGTCAGGATCAGTCTCTAAAGTTATTATTTGCTGTTCCTCAGTTTGGAGCAGCCTGATAACTCTGTAAAAAGTGTGTCAGTCATTTAGGAACAGAAACTAAAAACTAGCTCAGTCATGAAGGGGTTAAAACCATAACATTCATAAACCACATATGAACAATATAAAAACAGTAACAGATGACTTACTGTTAAAAAAAGTAGCTCAAGTGATAATTTGATGATACATTTGGATTTTGTATGCATTTATATTTTGACCTGTGTTTGTGATTGCCAAACTCATGGTATCTGTCCATACTGGTTGTATAACATTTTCTTGTTATCCTCCTCACAAAGGAAGAAATACTGATCAGGACCTACAAGGACTGCCACCATAGTGTTCTTCAGTGTATTAAGCCTCTTCACGCCCATCAAAAGACTTGCATAGAGATGTGCAGTCATTCCTATGAAACCTACCCATTTAAAGTCTCCAGAGATCCCGTCAGTATATATCTGCCACTCTCCCGCATGCTGGCAGGTAAGTAACAGCCTCCATTTGTTCATCTGTAATATGGGGCTATGAAGTTTCTTTATTTTAGTATGTAAAATTTATGAAGTGTTATTTCCTTTGGAATTCTTCTTCTTGGGAACAGTCAGGTCCTCATTTGTCTGCAGTTTTCATTGTGTATACAACCTTATACTCATACATTATAATATATAGGTGGTAAGGATGTCCCGATACCACTTTTTCAAGACCAAGTACAAGTACTGTCCCTCATGTACTTGCCGATACCAATTACCGATACTTTTTCTTAAAGGGCCATGTGACATTTTTTCAAAAACAATAGACTAATGATTTTAGGGCAGTTTCTCACCAGGGCTGCGTGCATTGGAGGTGACAGGTTCTCTTTAAGGTGACATTAGGGGTCTTTTAGACCTCTTGTGTCACCTTTCCACTTCACTGGATTCACTGAATGTAAATACAGCAGGCAGTGGCTGGGAGCAATAGCCAGTCTGCTATTGGATATTTTAAATTGCAATAGCCGATAGCAGGCTGGCTATTTTACCCGCCCACTGCATGCTGTCAATCCAGCAAAGGAGGGAACTGAAGACAAAGTTCTCTATCAGGTCCTCCCTGCTGATTGAGAGCAGGCAATGGGTGGGTACAATAGCCAGCTTGCTATTGGCTATTGCAATTTAAAATATTCAATAGCAGGCTGGCTATTGTTACAAGTGTCCATTCCTTTTCCACTTGATTAAACTGTTTGCTTTTGGTGATATATCTCAGTGTCAGTTGTCTGTGCTCCTTATGTGTTTAATAATGCCCTCACCAGACCCACACAGAAGTTTTCCCTCTCAATGAAAGAAGGCAAAGTCCATTATGTGTGACTGTGAAGGCAAGATTTACAGCTTCTCTCCTCTCCTCCGTGAGCACACTGAACGGACATTCTCTTCTTACATTGAGAGTGAAAACTGTTGTGTACGTCGGCTGATGAGTGCATTACACATAAGGAGCACGGACATCTCAAACATTTTGATATATTACCAAAAGCAAAGTTTCATCAAGCTGAAAAGGATAGGACACGGAAGGATGGAGGAGGAGCAGGTAACATACAGGAGGGGGGGGGGGGGGGGTGGGGGC